CCGCCCATGAGTGCTTCCCTCGGTGCAGAGCCTCGATCTCTTCCCTCTTCCGCTTGCGCTCTGCTATCATCCGCTCCTCGTCATCCTCATCGTCCTCCCCCGTTCCCCCCCCGGCCAGCATCATCATGCGCAGACTCTCCTGGTCTAGATCCAAAAAGTCCTCCTCTTCCTGCACCTCTGTCTCCTTCCTTACTGCTGTCTCCCCCCCTCGCGCCTCCACGTCGCCCTCCCTCTCCACCTGGCCGTCTCGGCTTCCACCGCCACGCTCCCCGCCCATCCCGTGGCCGTTCCCTCGCCCGCCCACCCTCTCCTTCCCACCCTGACCCTCGTCCCTCCCTTCTTTCCTCCTGCCGGCTAGACCTTCGCCGCCATCGTCTTTCCTCCGTGTATCCTTCGCCTGAATGGACGACTTGGCAGCGCGGCCCTCGCCCGCCTCCCCCCGTTTCTCTCTGCGAGGATGGTTCTCCAGCGCATGCCGGTGCCTGCTTCTCCCCTCTTCGCTCCGACTCCGACCCCTCTTCCCACCTGCCCCGTCCCTTGCACTGCTCCGCTTTCCCTCCCGACTTCTCGATCGGTCCCTCTCGCGTGAGCCATGGCGCCGACGCTCTCTCCGGTCGTCACGCTCCCGACCCCGGTCCCGATGGCGAGAGTGGGAGCCATGTCCGTCGGCGCTGCCCGTGCGTCGAGAGGAGCTACGCGACCTCGAGCGAGAGCGGTGCCCGCCCATCCCTGTATCGCGATGGAAAGAAGAAAGAGACGTTAGGATCGGCCTTGCCGTCCTCTCCTATTCAGCCCCTTCTGGCTCCCGAGATGCGCCTCCCGACGGCCAAGCGTTGTGTGCAAACATCGCGCGAAAAGAGTGCCCTAACGACAATAATACCGATTGATGTACTGAAAGGACGCTTCCTTTCACATATCCTTCAGCAGCCCCCTAAGAACTACATTCCTCCCGCGCCAGGGGTAGTAGGCTTACGCGGGCGCTCATCAGCGCTTTCAAACACCAGAAAATTCAATGAATTTTAAGGCCAAGCCAAACATGCTGGATGGGAAATTAGGGTTGAAATGTGCTTATGAGTGCAAATGGCATGTAAGGTGTTCAATGCTCCCGCACTGGCTTCTTGATAAATCAATCTTACCACCCAAAAAATGGGGCGAGGATGATAGTCCAATACTGCTTAAGATGCAAGGGTTCACAATTGGCGTGTTGGTGTCGAAGTTTTCACTGGACTCTCCCGGCCGATCTGAGGTGCCGAGGGAGGACGATGCCATGGGAGGCAGGGTTCTTGTTGCCAGGGGTGAGGCGGAGGATATCCGAAGGGAGATATGGAACGCGACGCCTCTCGACGCAAATGAGGCTGTAGGAACAAGTTCCTAAGAAGTGATGGCATGTGAAATAGCCATGGTGTCGTGCTGATGGCTGGGAGTGAAAGCTTGCGGTCGAAGAAGGGCGTAAAGCCGAGGCGAAGATGCCTGGACTCCGAGGGGATGACTCTTCCCTTTCTTTTCCCGCGTGCCTGATCATGTATGCCCTACGCTCGGATGCTCCATCTTACTGTGGCATCACCTCATTCATGATACTACGGGTGGAACGTGTTGGTAGCCGCATGCTACGGCAGACGCCGAAGGTGAAGATAGCACACATTGGTGCCTAGCTACGGCCTCTCACGCCTAATTCCAACACATGCTACTTACTAACTACAACCATGGACACGAATACGAGACAGGGCCGCGCATTCAGAGCTGTCAGTGTAACAGATCAAGTTCATCTGGCCACCTAGGTACAATGGCCACCCTGGGGCTTTCAAGGCTTTTGCCCAAACCCACCCAGACTTATCAAGTCCATAAAGACGACCCGTCCCCCACCGCCCTGGCGCGCCTCGAGGTAAGGGCGAAAGTCTGCCCGGAGTATGACGGGCTTAGGCTTTACGAAGTGGCGAGGAAGCATTACAGCGGGGGAGACATGTGCTGTTTTCACACTCATATCTGATCCCTCTTCTACCACCTCATGCTCGCAGATTTCAGGCAAGAAGGTAATCCCACCGTATGGAGAACGCAATGGCTTTGTGCCCCGAGCTGTGGGTGATTTTGGTGACGGAGGAGCTTTCCCGGAAGTGCACGTGGTACAATACCCGCTGAATATGGGCAAGAAAGACGCCGCCAGCGCCAGTAATGCCATTGTGTCTGTGGACGTGGCTGCGGACGGCAAGGTGAATTTCGACGCGATCGTCAGGCAAGGCACAAACCGCAACAAGATCGTCCATTCCAAGCTCTCTGACATGAGGGGCGGGGACGCGGATGAGAACGTGCTGAGCAAGCCCACCCCGGAGGAGGAGGCGGAGCAGGCGGCCAAGACCAAGAGCGCCCTGGAGGCCTTGATAGGAGGGAAAATTGCAGCAGCGCGTCCTGTGCAGCTCGCGAAAGCCCCAGGCTCGGAAGAGCCGACGTACGTGCGCTACACGCCGAACCCTAACGCACCGGGCTACAACACGAACGCGAAGCAGCGTGTGATCGAGCTGGTGGACGCCCAGGTGGACCCGATGGAGCCCGCCAAGCACAAGCACAAGAAGGTGCCCCGAGGCCCGCCCGAGGACCCTGTCCCCGTCCTGCACTCGCCGCCGCGGAAGGTGTCGGTGGAGGACCAGGAAGCCTGGAAGATCCCCCCCTGCATTTCGAACTGGAAGAACGCCAAGGGCTACACCATCCCCTTGGACAAGCGCCTGGCCGCGGACGGGCGGGGTCTGCAGGAGACGACGATCAACCCGAAATTCGCGGCACTGCCTCAGGCCTTGTACATCGCGGAGGACAAGGCTCGGGAGCAGATCGCGGCCCGCGCGAAGATCGATCAGAAGATCAAGAAGCTGGAGAGAGAGCAGAAGGAGCAGGAGCTGCGAGAGCTGGCGGCCCGGTCGCGGATGGCGAGGATGCCTCACGTGGCCCTTCGAAGCCGCCATGCCGCGAGACAACCTCCAGCTGGAGAGCAAGCAATGGTCTGCCGACCACCGTATGTGAATCCCTGGGAATCTACCGCAAGGATGTCCTCCAGGCAAAGAAGCCGGGCGCCTTGAAGAGTCCTCACAGAAGAAGGACTGCCCCCGGCAAGCTCCGTCGCCTGTGGATGGCCGGGAGGCCAGCCTGTGGTAGCGGGAGGTTAAGCGGGGCCGGAGGCGCCTGATCTCCACTTTCAGGGGCTAAAAATTAACAAGTGCACTGGTATCGACTCCGTAGCAACACCGCGTCCTTGGAAAAAATGGTAGACACCAACCAGAGAGCAGCCATTCTACTTTTTTATTTTTTCTTGTACAAAATTGCCATTTACACAGAGTCTTCTCCTTCCCATGTACCCTCCGTTTTCCCTCCCTCTTGAGTTCAACTTTTACTTCTTATTGGCTATTCGAGGCTCCACAGATGAAAAGAAAGGATGGTGGAGCGCGTCACGGACGGAAATGCGCTTGGTGGCATCGACGCTGAAGATCTTTTCCAGCAAGTCAGCCAAGCGAAGGACAAGCGCCTTGTCGTCCGAGGCTGCCTTGGCCTTCAGGAGAAGGCCGGTCAGATCCCGCGTGGGCTGCAAGGGAACGTGCACCAGACGCAGAAGCACTTTTTTCGAAACCGGATCCTGCTCAATCTGACGAAAGCGGCCGTCTGATTCAAACATGGGCTCAAGTTTCAGTTGCTCGTATGCCAACCGATGCCTGCGGACGAGTTTTTGCGGCAAGGCGCCTTTCAGCTCCATGATTAGCCGCAGCATTTCGTTGTTACTTGACCCAGGAAGAGTCACACGCCCCGTGAAAAGTTCATACAGGCAACAGCCCACCGACCACAGATCCACTCCCCTTCCGTATTCAAACCCCAGGATTACCTCGGGTGCGCGATAAAAGCGGCTGACAAGGTACGGCGTTGGTGCATTGTCGGGGGCATCCTCTCGAAAGGCCGAGCCAAAGTCACAGAGCTTCAACTGGCCAAAGCCCTCCGAGACAAGAATGTTGTCGGGCTTGATGTCCGCGTGGACGATCCCAAGCTTCTCGATGTGTCGGAGCGCGAAGAGCAGTTGCTTTGCGTATGTCCTGACCGCAGAAATATTCAAGCCCACATGCTTGCCAAATTTGCGTAGAGTCTCCCGCAGGTTCATCTCCAAGGACTCGAACACCATGACAACGTGTTGTCGGTGCTCCAGGTGAGCCAGGAGACGGACACAGTGCTTCTTGTTCTCCGGGTCGGCCGCCGCGATCACCCGCAGTAGCTCGAGTTCTCTCTGCGCGGCCTTGCGCATAACGTCGTTGTTCCTGATCACCTTCACGGCCACCACGGATGGCGCCTTATCCCCAGCCTCCCCTCCCTCCTGCAATGCGCGCTGGTCCTGGCAGCGCAGCACGGTGCTGAAGACGCCCCGTCCGATGGACCCCAGCACCAGGTACCGATCTCCGATCACCTCGCCCACCAGTGTCTTGTAGTACCCCTCGTGGTCGTCCCAATTGTCTTCCAGGGTGTCTACCGCGTCCTTCCCCCCTCTCGCCGCCGCTCCCGCTGACGCCAAGGCCATACGGCCTGTCCCAGGCCCCCGCGCTTTGCCTCCCAAAAGCCCATCAGCCGCCAAAGCCGCATCCCCGGGAGAGAGGGAGAACATGTCGAGCAAAAAAGCCTTCTCCTCCGATGGCTCGGGCTGGCCAGCACGCATGGCCATGTCCTGCTCCGCCTCTTCCTCTGTCAGCGGCTTGCTGTGCACACGCACCTCAACAGGGCCCTCCTCTTCTTCTTCTCCCTCTTCCTCCTCCTCCCTCCCCATGCCTCCCTTTCCAGCCGCAGCTTTCCGCCACTCCACCGGTGACGTCGGCGGCTCCTCCTGACCTGACCCCACAACGCTCTTCCCTGCACCGGCACGCGTAGGGCTGGCACTGGACAGGTCCTGCCTCTCGCCTCCTCCCCT